CACTAATGAAGACTTGGTGAATGAAGGCTGCCTAGAGCAGCTGATGTCTAAATTGAGCTTTGAGGAATGGGCTGGAATTCATTAGGCAAAGAAGGGTGGGCAGAGTGTCTGAAGCAGAATAAGTAGTAGCTTGTATAATCACAGAAGGAGGCTGAAGCCCAATTTGCATGCTTGGGTTTGCATGGGGCAGTGCAAGAAATGAGGTTGACTGGGCTGGCAGAGACAGGGTCATGAGAAGCTATATATATATATATGAGATTATGTATGTCACTCTAAGACATATGGAGTTTTATCCTGAAGGCACCTCCTACTCCTCTCCCCCCCAAGTTCATTCTGATTTTGTCACACTGGCCTCCTCACTATTGCTTGAACACGAGTAGGCACGTTCCTCTCTCAGCCAGCACGAACTCTTCCCTCATCTGAACTACCTTTTCCCCATGGCTCACTCCTTCACCTTCAAGTATTTGCTCAAATATCACCGTCTCAGTGATATTTATCCTGACCACTCCAATGATATTGCAACACCCTCACCTGCACTGGATGCTCCTTACTCTGCTTAATTTTTCTCCATGGTATTCTCACATTCTAACACATTATATAGTTTCTGTGGTTATTATATTTATCGGCTTTTTTGTTTTTTGAGACAGCATCTCACTCTGTCCCCACGCTGGAGTACAGTAGTATGATCTCATCTCGCTGCAACCTCCACCTCCCAGGCTCAGGTGATTCTCGTGCCTCAGCCTCCTGAGTTGCTGGGATTACAGATGTACACCAACACGACCAGCTAATTTTTGTATATTTAGTAGAGACAAAATGGTCACATGTTGGCCAGTGACCTCAAGCAATCCGCCTGTCTCAGCCTCCCAAAATGCTGGGATTACAGGCATGAGCCATCATGCCCTACCTATTTACTGTTTATTGGCTGCTTTCCCCTGCCAGAAGAGAAGTTCCATGACAGCAGGAATTTTTGCTTTTTTAGCAATACATCTCTGGTGCCTGGCACATAGTCAAAAGTCCTTGCTGTCAAGAGTTTATTATGTTAGTAGGGAGTAAGCTGTGAAGACATTTGAGAAAATCATCTTCCAGGTACTCAGAGGATACTGTATGAAAAAACAAAGGCACAGAAGAGCTACCAAAGAACATCATGATCAAACTGGAATTGCAGAAAGATCACAAACAGGATTTTAGACAATGAACTGGAAAAAGGGAATGAATTCAGAGGTATGATGGAGGTAATAATACAGTACAAAGAGCCCCCATGCAACAAGTGGGCTCATGCCTTATAAATCACCTCCAAATCCCACCTTGATCAAGGGAGGATGAAAAGGTTAAAAAGGAAAGAAGAGGAAGAAGAAGAAGGAGGAGGAGGAGAGAAGGAAGAAGAAAAAGGAGGAGGAGGAAGAGGAAGAAGAAGGAGGAAGAGGAGGAGGAAGAGGAAAAGAAAGGAGGAGGAAAAGAAGCCAGGCCTAGTGGCTCAGGCCTATAATCTCGGCCTCCCAGATGAGTGGATCACCTGAGGTCAGGAGTTTGAGACCATCCTGACCAACATAGTGAAAACCCCATCTCTGCTACAAATACAAAATTAACTGGGCATAGTGGCACATGCCTGTAATCCCAGCTACTTGGTAAGCTGAGGCAGGAGAATTGCTTGAACCTGGGAGGCAGAGGTTGCCGCGAGCCGAGATCACACCATTGCACTCCAGCCTGGGCAACAAGAGAAAAACTCCATCTCAAGAAAAAAAAAAAAGAAAAAAGAAAAGAGGGAGAGCTAAGGACCTTGGGAACTGGCAACGTTTCAGAGCCAATGGAAGAAGCAGTGCCCTATAGCGAAAAAGAGAAGAGGTCAGAGCAGCAGGAAGTAGAAGAAAAATCAAGAATAGCATATGGCAACTGAAGAAGAAGAAAGTTTCAAGAAGAAAGTTGTCAGTGTCAGATCAGGCATGGAGGCTAATCCCAGCACTTTGGGAGGCCAAGGCTGGAGGGTCACTTGAGCCCAGGAGTTCGAGACTAGCCTAAGCAACATGGTGAGACCTCATCTCTACAAAAATAAAAATATTAGCTGGGCATAGTGGCACACACCTATAGTCCCAGCTACTTGGGAGGCTAAGGTAGGAGAATCACCTGAGTCCAGGAGATTGAGGCTGCAGTGAGCTGTGATCACACCACTGCACTACAGCATCAGCAATAGAGTGAGACCCTGTCTCAAACAAACAAACAAACAAACAAAACTTAGTGTCAAACACTACAGTTAATCCAGTTAGTTAAAAACTGGAAATATCAAATGGATTTGCCAAGTAGGAAGTTATTGGTGACTTTGGCAAAGGCAAGTTCAGGGGAACTGTGAGAGCAAATGCCCGATCGCATTGTGTTTCGGAGTGAAATGCAAGGGGAAGAATCAGAGAAGCAAATGTAGACCATTCTTTTCCAGCAGCTTGGCTATAAAGGAGCAGAGAGAAATCGGGAGCTACAGAGGGGAATAGGGTAGAAGGACAGACTGAAGCATGGGCGTGAGTGAAAAGAAAGATCCATCAGAAAGAAGATTAAGACAGAAGAGACAGCGGAGGCAGGCAGGGCTGAATTTCAGAGCACAGGTCTCAGGAGAAAGGAGTCTCCTTCACTTGAAGGAAAGAAGAAAGAATGGTGACAGAGATGGAATGGTGAAAGATAAGTCTGACAGAGCTCTCTGGTCCCTTTTCATATATTCACTCAATGTCTGGTGGTACTGATCGAGCGCAGTGCCCAAACCAGACTTGCCTGATTTCCTGATAGATCATCCTCCCTTCCTGGCTTTTTTGCCTTCAGTATCTTCCTGTATTCGGCAACAGGGATGGGCTGAAACTCTTCAGAGACTTTGATGAACCCTGGTCACTTTCGTTGGTCCTGCTCCTCTAATCCCATGACTTTTGCACTTCCCTTGACCTATTTGCTATCTGGGTACCCCAGACAGATGAAGCAATGTAGGAGCATGGAACAAGACACCGAACTAATTCTGAGACAGGAGCATCCTTAGCAAACCCTCTCTCATCCTATGATGTCACCCCATACCACCTATGGTCTGCACTGTCCATAAAACTCTTGGTTGAATGTGGCCCTGTTTGTCCTCCCGTTATCTGAGATCAGCATTCTCTCCTTCATCAATACCAGGTCTTTCTTAAATGACTACTGTGGGTAGGTTGCCAAGGTTTTTCATCTTAACAAAGACAGAGTATATGTGTACGTATGTGATATACATATAGTGTGTAAATATAAACACTTATGCAAATATATACACACATAATAAATAAAAACAATACTAGAAGGTAGCACAAACTGCAAAGTGAGTTATCTAGGCAAAACAGCTATTAGGCTTGAATATGGAATCTTGAAATAAGAGAAAGCTTCAAGGGGGTAGTGTGAAGTAGGCCTTACACAGAAGGGAAGGGTAGGTTTACATAATAAAGGAAGGAGAATGTTGCTGATAAATTGGCAAAGACCAAGAAACGTATTTGGCAATGTTTAGGGAATAACTAAAAAAGTGAATAACTAGAAAACGAGAAAAGCAAGAAAACTTGCTCTTCTACACGAATCTGTTGAGGAATCCAGATATTATCCTACAAAAATGTGGAGCTACTGAAGGCTTTAGAACGAAAACTGACTTGTACCATATTTTTATATATTTTTACAATTAATTCGGAAGAACTGTGTAGATCAATTTAAAAAATAAAGGGCAGGGATAATTCAGACACTATTTTGTGATACCTGAGGTGAGGGTGATAAAGAGCTATACCGTCTTAAAACGTGTATGCAGTGAGGTGTTGGCAGTGGGGATGGAAAGAAGTTGGTGTCTGCCTGGATATGGAAAAAGAGAAAGGAGGCCAGCAGCACTATAAGGTTTCATGCAGGAGGGAAAGGAGAATGACGATACTCTGGAGAGAATCAAATCGGAAAATTCAGGGTGCAGTTCAGTGAGCAAAGTTCAATGGAGTTTAAGCTATGTGGGGCTTGGTGATAGGAACACATTTGAGTTTAGATTTAGAAATCCATGACACAAGCTCCGGGAGACATCAGTACTGGAAGCGTGGGCCTGGGAATCATCCGCAGCAGAGATGCAGAGGCAAAGGTAGAGGACAAAAAGGAGGAAGAGGAACTAGTGAGGATGGAGGGTAGAGAAGCAACCCAAGAGACAGAAGGCTAGGAGGGTGGAATATTGCACAAGTCTAGGAGGAGGCAAGTTTTAAGGGTAAGGAAGCACAAAACAACTGTAAATACTAAGAACAACTGCCTGTTGAGAGAAGGCCAACGATACGGTCGCTCAGGATCTACAAGGAAGTCTCATTAGGAAGGAGGGGAGGAGTAAACGGGAGGGGATGGTTATAAAAAGACGATGATAAAAGCGGACAGGGAGACCACTCCTTTGAGACACTGGGTGGTGAGAACCACCAAGATTCATACGTTGAAGGGGGGCTGGGTCAAATGACGATTTGCTTCCCCTTTTAGGACTTCATCAGAACTCTCCGCAGAAAAACAGACTGACTGAAACAGGAGTAAGGTTTTCAGGAAGCCGGAGAGGTTGGGATAAAAAAACAAAGATCTTGAGAAACTCATCTTGGCACTAAAGAATGGCAATTAGGAGACGCATGAGAGGAGGTGTGAAGAATCTGGATTTTTCAAGTAGAAAGGTGAGGCAGTTCTTAAGAAACTGAGAAAGGAATGGTAGAGGTGGCCAGGCGCAGTGGCTCATGCCTGTAATCGCAGTTTGGGAGGCCGAAGCGGGCAGATCACCTGAGGTCAAGAGTTTGAGAGTAGCCTGGCCAACATGGTGAAAATCCGTCTCTACTAAATACAAAAAAATTGCCAAGCGTGGTGGCACATGCCTGTAATCCTAGCTACTCAGGAGGTTGAGACAAACAAGTTGCTTGAACCCTTAAACCCTGGAGGTAGAGGCAGCAGTGAGCCGAGATCCTGCCACTGTGCACTGGATTCCAGCCTGGGCAATAAGAACAAAACTCTGTCTCAAAAAAAAAAAAAAAAAAAAAGGAAAGGTAGAGGTAGCTGGGATATAATCTCAGACATGGCACCATAAGACTGTGTTCAAGTTCCAGATATGCTAACTTGGGCTGGTCATCCAAGGGCTGGCAAGATCTCGTTGAGGTCATTTCCTTACAAAATTGTTACAGGTTAAATGAGATACTGCTAATACTGCACATATAAATTATAAAGCACTTCTCAAACAAGAGAAGCTTGAAACTACCAGAAGAAATGTGATGCAGCATGAGCAAGAGATGCAGTAAAGCACAGCCAAGCAGCAGCGAGGGGAAAGGTGAAGCTCAAGGCAGGAATATATAGCAAACCTAAGTCCACACCGTTTCTGTGATTTCCTCCAGCCTACTGGAGTGGAGGACACAGATTCTGAGTGAGAGTAGACGCAAGAAGAACAAGAGGCTGAAAAAAATCTAGGTAAGGATTATTTAAAAATCTTTGGGGATATGCTTACATCTGGAAATTACATGCAAAATTTACATAAAAGTGGCATTTGACTCATTGGCGTGTTCTATTTTGGAAATGACCAAACCTTTCATTTTTATATTTTACAGTTTTTTTTTTTTATATTTTGGGGTTAACTTTTTTTTTTTTTTCAGGTTCTATATTTTTAAAAGCTTAGGCTCCAGACAGCATGCCTAGAGCACGAACCGCGTAATGAAGGCATCAGTGGAACAGCCGCCCACTGGGTCCAAATTAAGCAGGGAAGGTCATGAACGAAGAAAGCAGTGAGGGCCCAGTAGGCACGCTGACGCGACTGCAGATAAGAACAGGTGGAGGGGAAGGGAGTTACCATTTTTGGGATTTTGGAGAATCAGAAGATTCCTGGTAAGTACAGAGAAGGCGGCCGTGTAATTCCAGTTAAAGGGGTGGGACGTGCTCATCTTCCCAATTAGCTTTGAGCCCACAAAGCGCTTGCCCCTCATTGCCACCATCCACTGTCCCATTGTGACTAAGCATGGGCCCTCCGTGATTGACTGGTAAAAACAGGGGGTCCAATTTGTTCAGCTCGTTTCTGTTACACAGAACTATGGAATCCTGGATGACAAACATTCATTCTTCCCGGGCAGAAAAACAAAGCCTTCCCGAGCCCAGGCAAGGAGGGTGGCGCTCCCCGGGCCGGCTGGAATTGAAATTTGAGACCTCGGCTCCACGGTCTCCCGAACCGGCCCCCGCAGCGCGAGCCTGACATGCCCTCACCCCGGGAAAACACCCGAAGCCAGGGAGCCGCGGGAGTGCCTGTACCCCGCACGCTAGGCCTGGGGGGGCCTGTGAGCTGCAAGAAGCTCCGGAGGACGAAGGGGAGCCTCGCCGCCTCACACCAGCGCGCAGGAGAAACGTCTGGCGCCCCCGGGCGGCCGAGGCCTCGAGAGCCAGAAGAACGTCTCCCACGCCCAGCGCCGGGCCAACTGACAGTGCCATCCACCAATGGGAGGGCCCAGTCTGCGTTCGCGGGACCCGTCCGAGGGGAGAAGAGGGCCGTCCCTGCGGCAAGTCAGAGTGGTCCTGAGGCCTCTCTGGTCACCACGGAGATAGAGGGACAGCCCCTGTGAAACAGTGACGCCGGCTACACTATGCCGCTCGCTCTCAGCCTCGGCCTGTCCCTCCCGCCGCGCGCCGAGCCCTTCGGCCGCCCCGCCCACGGCCTTGTTAGGCCCGCCCCCCCCGCGGGAGTGGATTGGCGAAGATGTGGCGTCGCCAAAGCTTATTGGATGCTTAGTGGCGTCACTCTGGAGGGCGGCAGGGCCCGGAGCGGCGAGGGCCGCCCCTCTCGGATGGTGATTGGACTCGCCGGAGTAGACCGGGCTGGGATTGGTGCGAGGCGGGGCGAGAGCCCGCGGGCGTCCCGGGCCCAGGCGCGGGGGAGGCGGTCGCCGCTGGGACGCCGGTGGGGGCGCTTCGCAGAGGGAAGGAGCAGGAGCGCCCCTACCTCATCGGGCGGGGGCGGGGGCGGGGGCGGGGGCGAGGGCAAGGGCGGCGCTCGTCGCGTGTGGGTCGCGGTGGAGCGGGCGGCGGGAGGGGGGTGGCAGTGGAGGGACTGAGACGGGCAGGGGTGACTGTTGGCAGCAGGACTAGCTGGAGACCTGGACCTGGAAGCGCGTTCGGGGAGGGCTTGCGGGTAGAGGAGGGCGTGGGCGTGTCTGGTATGGTATGCAGTGGAAAGGAGGGGGCCCTCCTGAGTAGATCCGTGAGTGGTTCCTTTGAGGAAGCCTCTTCTTCCCCTCTGCCTTATTATTTGTCAGCGAGGGAGTCCCCATGGTCTCTGTTCAAGTTCTGGAAACTTTCTCTTTGGGTGGGCTTAATCACCTACGACTTCATCGTAGAACTGCCCGGGGCCTTTTCTGATATTGGTCACAAACGTGGGGAGTATGTCAGAAAACAGGAAGCCGCTGCTAGGCTTTGTAAGCAAACTCCCCGGTGGGACTGCACTTGGGAACTCGGGCAAGACTCACTGCCCCTTGTGCATGGGGCTTTTCAAAGCCCCCAGGCTCTTGCCTTGTTTGCATACAGTTTGCACCACGTGTCTGGAGCAGCTGGAGCCCTTCTCAGTAGTGGACATCAGAGGGGGAGACTCTGACACAAGCTCTGAGGGGTCAATATTCCAGGAACTCAAACCACGAAGTCTGCAGTCGCAGATCGGCATCCTCTGTCCGGTATGTGATGCTCAGGTGGACCTGCCCATGGGTGGAGTGAAGGCTTTAACCATAGACCACCTGGCCGTGAATGATGTGATGCTGGAGAGCCTGCGTGGGGAAGGCCAGGGCCTGGTGTGTGACCTGTGCAACGACAGGGAAGTAGAGAAGAGGTGTCAGACCTGCAAAGCCAATCTCTGCCACTTCTGCTGCCAGGCTCATAGGTAAAGATGGGACACTCCACCAGGTGTAGCTTAAGAGGAAGTACAAAGAGGTGTCACGACAGAAATCCCTTGGTGAGCGGATGAAAAGGAGAGCCTTCTCAAATACCGCGGAAGGTCAAAGAGCAATATAAGGATGCAGCAGCACATACTCCAGCACAATAGTTAACCCGGTCAGCCTTATATAGTACCTGTAGCAATAGCAATAGAGGTTTGCATAATCTTTTTCAATTTCCAAAGTGCAGCTACAGTTTCTTTCAATCATCGGTCATTCGTGTAGTGAACTGGGTGCAGGAGAAACAGGAGAATGAATGTAATAGCATAGATCCTGCTCTTGATCTTGTTTGATCTTGCAACTCTTACAGAAAAGCAGGCACCGTTCCCCATTTATTAATTGTGGAAACTGAGGCTCAGCAATGTTATGTGATTTGCCAGGGTCCTATAGTTGGTAAGTGTGTAACAGAACTGAGTATTGAATCTAGATCATTTTGACTACGTTCCACTAACCCATGCTACCCTCCTAGAATAGGAGAATAGAATAGAATAGGTGATGCTTGGTTGGACCTCAGCTTTTGCTTTGTACCTTACTCTGGAGCTTGGTGAGGTGGGCTTGTAGCTGTTAATTGAAATGAAGACTGTGTCTTTTATGGCATTTGGTGAATAGGTTGCCAGATGGATCACTTTTGTCCCTTCTTACCTTCCTTACCCCATCCTAGGACACGAAAATATAAAATGACCACAGTTTTAAGGTTAGCCTAAAATAGATTTCAGGTTCTAACATCCATTTGTTTTCTGGCCACACTAACAGAACAAGTTTGTAGACTTCACTCTATTTTTAACTTGTAATTATGTGATAGTCCCTGCGACTGTCTTGCTGCCAGCCAAACCAGATGACCCTATTTTCTCTGCAGCTACTCTTCTGGAGCCAGAATAGGCATAAAAGCTTCCAATTGATATAATGCTAATGGAGGAACTCTGAACAGTCACCGTGTTTTCCTAGGGATTTCCCTGAATCTCTAGAGGGCTATTACAGGAAAGGAATTAAAAAGAGAGCTTTGATTCTACTAACGATTGGTTTCACACTTTCTTTTTTTTTTTTTTTTTTTTTTTTTTTTTTTTTTTTTTTTTTTTTTTTGAGATGGAGTTTCACTCTTGTTGCCTAGGCTGGAGCGCGGAGACGCGATCTCGGCTCACTGCAACCTCTGCCTCCCGGGTATCAAGTGATTCTCCTGCCTCAGCCTCCCAGGTAGCTGGGATTACAGGTGTGTTCCACCATTCACGGCTAATTTTTTGTATTTTTAGTAGAGATGGGGTTTCACCATGTTGGCTAGGCTGGTCTCAAACTCCTGACCTCAGGTGATTCACCCATCTCAGCCTCCCAAAGTGTTGGGATTTACAGTTATGAGCCACTGTGCCTGGCCGGTTTCCCGCCTTCTAATAATGTTGATGCTGTCTCTTGAAAAAAATTCTAGCCTGCTGATTTGGGTAATAGAGGTACTGGACAATAGAAATGCTTTACAGAAATCTTGGAAGCAAACTAGATGAGAATTTGTGTCAGGACCAGCTAGCTGCTTTTTAATTGCTTGGACTTGATTGCTGTGTTACTTGGCATGGTTTGGTGCTAGTTTTCTGCCATGCCCTCACTGCCAGCTTACCATAGGAAGCAGACTGTGGCTCTTGTCTAAACTCTTTGGGGAAAGTTCTAGCATGCAGTCGCAGTCTTGCAACCTTCTACAAAGGTATGTACCAAGCCAGAGCCCTGGTCTGTTCACATGTTATGGTACACAACAGCCCTTTCAGGCAGGGTTTGTCCCCACTGTACAGATGAGGAACGGAAATCAGAGAGGATCATGCAACTAGAGGTTAGAGCAAGGAACTGAAATACAATTTAACTTCAGAGCCTGTGCTCCTAAAACCTCTCTGCCCAACTATTCCCAACTAGAATTCTTCCCTTATTTCCTGTTATTGACTCTCTTTGCCCCTAGGCGGCAGAAGAAAACGACTTACCATACCATGGTGGACCTAAAAGACTTGAAAAGCTACAGCCAGATTGGGAAGCCCATCCTCTGTCCTGCTCACCCTGCGGAGGAACTGAGGCTATTCTGTGAGTTCTGTGACCGGCCCGTGTGCCGGGATTGCGTGGTGGGGGAGCATCGAGAACACCCCTATGACTTCACCAGCAATGTCATCCACAAGCATGGGGACTCCGTGCGGGAGCTCCTCAAAGGTACTCAGCCCCACGTGGAAGCCCTGGAGGAGGCCCTGGCTCAGATCAAGATAATGAACAGTGCCCTCCAGAAGCGAGTGGAGGTAGTGGCAGCTGATGTCCGGACATTCTCAGAGGGCTACATTAAGGCCATTGAGGAGCATCGGGACAAGCTGCTGAAGCAGCTGGAAGACATACGGGTCCAGAAGGAAAATTCCCTGCAGCTGCAGAAGGCCCAGCTGGAACAGTTACTTGCAGACATGCGGACTGGAGTGGAGTTCACCGAGCACTTGCTGACAAGTGGCTCAGACTTGGAGATCCTCATCACCAAGGGGGTGGTAGTAGAACGGCTCAGGAAGCTGAACAAAGTTGAATATAGCACCCGCCCTGGAGTGAATGATAAGATACGCTTCTGTCCTCAGGAGAAAGCAGGCCAGTGCCATGGCTATGTGATTTATGGGACCATTAATACCAAAGAGGTTGATCCAGCCAAATGTGTCCTACAAGGAGAAGGTAGGAAGGCATTTCCCATGGACACTGAGAGGACAGTGGACAGGGAGATGGTGTGTAAAGATTGGTGGCTCGTTCTGCTAGGAAGCCCGCCCTACTGACCAGGTTACCAAAGGTGGGGAGCTAAACTGATCTAAAAGACAGTGACCCCTACCTTGGCTCTTTCTGGTTTGTTCTGGTTAGGGTACAGTTAATACTCAATACAGGAATGAGGTTTGACCCTTTTCCAGTTCAGAGAAGTAGTAACGGCCGAGAAATGCACAGATCATGTTTTGTTTCTATCAGATGGCAGAACAGACAGTGCCCGTTGGAGGTAACAGCAGCGCTAGGGCCAGATGAAATTCTGCCTGCTCAGAGAGGAGCACGGCAGCCCTGGATGGCTCAGATCAAGTTCTGAAGTGGGTTTCTTTTAAGCCCTTTTGGTTCACATCAACCTTACTGGCATTTAAAAGGCTATGGTAGGTGTTTCATTTAATTGGGGGGAAATGCTTTCTTTTAACCAGTGTTTCCCTTTCTAGTGGAAGCATGTTATTTAAACATAAAGTCAGTCCTGTAAGGAAGATTGTATCATAGAATCATCCGACTCCGACACAGGCATTCTTAACTGTTTGGAAGTCGTAAATCTCTTTGAGAATGTTGTCTCCTACAGTAACACCCAGTAACTTGGACATACAATTCCAGATTTTTAGACTCTTCATAAGCCTTTCCATAGACCTTGTAGTAGTTAATGAACCCCAGGTTAAGAAACCCTGTTTGATCTGAATGCTGGAGTAGGGACTGTAGCTACTGGATGTCCCCCAGCACCTTGGCATGAGCTACCAAGTTGCAGAGGATCTCACAAGATGGAGGGTCGTGAGGCTGGTCAGCTGTACCGCCGCCTAGCACAGCAGGAGCCGGAGCCTGGCTGGGTGGTTTTGGTGTTACTAGCCTCTCTTATAGGGTCTAAAGGTTTTCTTTTTTAAATACCTAGGTCAGCCCTGAGTATTTTCAAAGCCTCCTAGGACTGAAGGTAAGGTCCAGGATCCTTTGTGATCCAAAGCAGCTGCTAGCTGAGAAGCAGGCTCACCAGGAAGGACTCCCAAGAGGTGTACTCTGGGAGGCAGAAGGGGAGAGAAAAGAAAGGGAGCCAGGGTGGTTACAGTAAACAGGAGAGCACGACCCTTTGTTCTGAAGAGAAAAAGCAAGATGGAGATGTAGTTGCTGCAGTTTGCATTTGAGGTGAGGATCAAGTGTTTATCTTTTTCAGATCTCCACAGAGCCCGGGAAAAGCAGACAGCCTCTTTCACCCTGCTTTGCAAGGATGCCGCAGGAGAAATCATGGACAGGGGAGGAGACAACATTCAAGTTGTCGTTGTCCCTAATGACAAGAAAGACAGGTTTGTATGACACGATTAGGTATCATGGATAACAGGCAGTGAGGAAACTGGAAACATGAGGTCCTTTAAGATATTGGGGCTGGGCGTGGTGGCTTACATCTGTAATCCCAGCACTTTGGGAAGTGGAGGCAGGAGGATCACTTAAGCCCAAGAGTTCAAGACCAGCCTGAGCAACATAGCGAGACCTCGTCTCTACAAAATTTAAAAAAAAATTAGCTGGGCGTAGTGGCATGCACTTATAATCCCAGCTATTCAGGAGGCTGAGATGGGAGGATCCCTTGAGTCCAGGAGGTCGAGGTTGCAGTGAGCCGTGATTGCACTGCTACACTCCAGCCTGGGCGACAAAGCAAGATCCCAGCCCAAAAAAAAAAAAAAAAAAAAAAAAAAGGATACTGGAGTGTAACTCAGTGGTTACATGTTACCTCCCCATAATGCTATGAAAGAAATGTTATGTGACCAAATGTGTTTTCTTGTGTGGGTTTTGTATTCAGTTCTCTCTCAAAGCTGTGGTCTGCCCCTCAGATTTTCATCTAAAGCTTTAGAATAGATTGAAAAATCTTCTATGGTTAGGCTGAATGGTACCCTTTTCAAAATTCAGCCTCCCTTTGCTACTAAATTATGCCTGGAGCATGTTTATATTTCTCTGGAATTGGAGTATGGAGGAGGGACAGCAGAGCAAGAGGGCTCAACGGAAGCCTGTTGAAAAGGACACAGTAATACATTCAAGGAATCTGTCTGAATATCAGACTAAATTGGAATCTATGCTGTTTACCTTCTGTTGTATAATTAACTTGTGAAGCAGATGAAGGAAGCACCCTGTTTGGGGTTACTTAACATTCATATTGAATGGAATGGTGTAGTTTACATTCTGAAATAGTAGCGACTGAAGCTGGCTTGTGGGAGTGAGTGGTGGTTTTTGACTCTTACCTCCATTCAGCCCAGTCAGAACGATGGTCCGGGATAACAAGGATGGAACATACTACATTTCCTACACCCCCAAGGAACCTGGCATCTATACTGTGTGGGTCTGCGTCAAGGAGCAGCATGTACAGGTAAGACTGGTGCACCTGCCTCCCTGAGCTCCCCTCACCCTGGTCCTCTGGGTGCTACTGTCTTAGGATCTGGAGACATTTCACATAGGATCAGCTATACAGAGAGACTGAATAGAATCCCCTGGTATTCTTCTTCACTTCAGAAACAGCCTAGATTTTGCTACTCCTCTTCTTAGAGGATGCTGTTGACCATAAGAACCCTCTATCTCTGTGTCACTTCCTGGCAGTTATGCTTATAGTTTATCCTTCTCCCAGCTGGTTTCTTAGGATTCTTAATATGGAGAAGATGTCTTGATCACAGGAGGTGATCTGCCAACAGACAACCATGCATATTCAAAAAATATAATCTAGCTCAGGATTTTCCTGCTTTGTCCAGACTGGACATGAACACAGCTGGGAGGGTTATGCCCCCTCCTCACAACCAACTAGTGATCTATCTGCCTAACCATCTGCCCATGTCATTTTCTACTCTGTTTTACATAGAGGTTTTTCTGTTACTATGGTTACTATAAACAAACAAATATATCAAACAAGTTATTTTACCATGGTTACTATAAACAAGTAGAGCACTTTCTGCTTTAGAGATTATGAGTTTTTTAAAATTGGGTGACACTCACAGGTCCAGCGGAATCTCTCCGCTGACACTGTCATAGTCAGAGGTTTCCCTCCACAGAAACCAACACTTGACGGGGACAAGAAAATACCATACAGCATCATGATATGTTAGGCTTATGACTTACGGACTTAGGAACACTCATATTTAATGGCCATTTATTGTTTACCTAATTATGGTATGTCAGGGACAGGCTATGCGTTTTTACATACATTATTTCAATTTTCTTCAAAACGACTCAGGCACAGGGATCATGGTCCAATTAGACCGAGAGACCAAACTTGCTACAATGCACAGGAAATGTAGCAAAATAGGAATTTGAACCTGTTTCTTTGAAATGCCAAGTTGTTTTTTAACTGGATTGTAAACTCTTTAAGATGGGAAAGTTAAAATCTGAAAGACTTCTAAGGTGCCAGGCTCTCTGCTTTGTGTTTCTCCAACTATGTGGCTCTCACATAAGGACAGGCACATTGCAACTTATTAAATATTTAAATTGGGCATGATGATGTGCACCTGTAATCCCAGCTACTTGGGAAAATCATCTAAACCCAGGAGCTCAAGGCTGCAGTGGGTTATGGTTGTGCCAGGGCACTCCAGTCCGAAGACAGAGTGAGATCCCATCTTTAAAAAAAATAAATATTTTGTGTTTAACATGGGATATAAATTAGAGAATGAAAGTTATCCTTAAAGGAAAGGAGGCAGATGGGAGTTACTAATTTGAGAATTATTCGCTGTACACATTTAACCTTTCTCCTTTCCATATGTCTTCACAGTCCCAGAATAAGTGGGTGAGTAAACAGATAAGTCACGTCCAGGATGGAAAGAAAGAGGCTAGCTTGGTATGTGAGGAGAAGAGGCACATGGCTGAGAAATTGGAGAAGGGACCACAGGACGTTCTATCTTTGTGGTTGCGACATTCTACTTATTACCCCTGAGATTCCTTAAGAATTGAGATTGAGGATCCTAGAGAAAAGTCAGTCTGAGATTACTGATGTATTGAATGACCTAGATACGTATACTTCACGCAAGGATAGAGTGAGGCAGAATCCATTAAGAAAAGCTTATGCTTACTGTAGCATGGGCTTCTGCTTTTTCTGCCATCTTGCACAACAATCCGCAGCTAATACAGATGCCACTGAAAATGGAGGTGCTGTGTGACTCCTGTCAGTGTTCAGCAGGTTCAGCCACACGGAATAAATCAGTACCTCCGTTGAGTAATTAGCATCTGTGGTGAAAAGCATGGTGGGAGGGCTGCGTAGACTCTGTGATGCTTCCACTGCATCTGTATCTGCACCCTTGCAGCTGAGCAGGGTTCTTGTCCTCTAATCTGTTTCTCTCCTGCTGTCATTGTGCCTCAAAGCGCAGGCCCTGTGCCTGACTCTGTTTAGCACATAGCGATGCTCGGCACATCCTGTAACTCCTAAGTTGCTGTTCTTTGCTCTTGGTCTGAACGCTGAAGGGCTCACCATTCACTGTGACCGTGAGGAGAAAGTACCGCCCACACCCAGGTGTGTTTCACTGCTGCACCTTCTGCTCCAGTGGAGGCCAGAAAACCGCTCGCTGTGCCTGTGGAGGCACCATGCCAGGTAAGGAGAAAGCACTACCCTCTGGGCCTTTCTGCCAGCAGTGGAAATACAGCGACAGACCCTCCCCTACCACACAGCCACTAGACATTTGGGCTTAGGCTCTGCTTCCAAGAAGCACAGTCTATGATTGTAGAGACACCACTGTTGTAAAAGTTTCACTTAAAGCTTCCTTGTTCTGAGTGGAAATAGCAGGCATAAAAGCTGAGTTCTGCTTTGGTACAGCTCCTGTGAGCCCTGTGCTTCTTTGTTGGATTCTCAGTTTGTCTGTCCCTTTCCAGCAGCCTGAGCAATGTAAGAACTGTGGACCCATCTTATTCCTTTTAAAACCTTAAATAAATTCTAAAGGAGGCATGACTTGGGGAGTGGATGATTAAACCAATTGAACAAGGTCTAGGTCTTTTAGGGGCAGGGAAAGGGTGGAGTCAGTTTAGGTAAGGGATCTAATACTTTTCTAAAATAATTATTCTATTGTGTTCACTCTAATAATGGGCCATAATATAGGCTTTGTATCCTTCTGTATAAACACTTCAGGATCTACTTTTTAATGTTCACCAACCTACCCTTCTTTATTTCAAGGATTTTACAGTTCAAGTCAAAACCAATTTATTTTATTTAATGTGCAAACTAGTTTGCCTGCTTCAGGGGGTGTTATCACTACAGCAGTCTTAGAACTCTGGCTAACATGAGTTGGTTTGCTGTGATCAATTCTGAGGGTCCTCCTGACTGCAGAGCAGTCAGATAGCTTGTTCGTGTTGCCAAGATTTTCTTAGGTATTTTCACTCCCAGGAATCTGCATGTTTTCAGGAGGTCTAATTTCCATGGTGACTGCTGGACTCCACTCTAATAGTCGATTTTTTTTCCTTTCCTCTTTGTACCATGCAGGTGGGTACCTAGGCTGTGGCCATGGACACAAAGGCCACCCAGGTCGTCCCCACTGGTCCTGCTGTGGGAAGTTTAATGAGAAGTCTGAATGCACGTGGACAGGTGGGCAGAGCGCACCGAGGAGTCTACTTAGGACTGTGGCGCTCTGAGGGGTTTGTGCTCAGCCTGTTAAAGCTGCAGTCAGCACCACTTCAGATTTCCAGAGGACCCAGAGCTTCGTTCATTCTAAAGAGACTGATAAAATTAAAAACAAAGTGCCTTATCTTACATTGGAGTTCAAGTGCTTTTGTTACTCATGGTACTTGTGGATGCTTGAGCACAAAAGACCACCTCTACGTTTCTCTTAAAGGTAGGTTGGCAACGTTCTTTCTCTACCACAGGACACTCCTTTTCATTTTGTACAGTATGGAGGTATCTATTCCATTGGAACTGAAGAGTCATGGGATACTTTAGTTCCTTATTTTCTGATATATTATAACCTTTTTCATTTTTCTCTGAGCTACACATTATTATTTCCCCTAGAGATTAAAAGCTTCCTTTCATCCTGTCCACTTTTTGTTAGCGGTGGACTTTCAGTGGATTTACTGGTACATGTTTTGTGATTGTGATAATGTGGTCTTGTTTTGGTGAGTGTCTCCCTCCTTCTTCTCTACGCCATGTCAATCTTCTCCCCCAAAGCCTGAAAGATTACTCTTTGGTCAAGGGCATATTGGTGTTGAAATAGAACCTCACACATTTATTGCTGTTCTACTCATGCCAGAAAAATCTAGATACCTTTAGGCCTGTCACATCTGTTTTTCAGTAGAGTACTCTTTAGAGTAGTTTTCACTTTTGTCTCTATACCTGACAAGTTAACTAGAAGTTTTGACTCTTACTGTGCCTTCACTCATAATGTGCCTTCTTAGCTGCTAGAGAATTCTCAGGAGAGGATGTATACTGCACTGGTGCCTCAGCCCTGCCAAGGTCTTCACTCTATATATTTTGTTCTGAGACTTGATTTCTTATATAGCAAAAAATTTGGCATGTATTAAATATAATTACTGAAATCTGCATTGTAAGATCCCTTAAGAAGTGGATGACTCATTTGAATGGTGAATTGGGTCAGGCAAAGGAAATGAAATAATTAGATGACTGTCAGATCATGGTGGAATACATTTCCTCCTTGAGGCTGACAGACATGGGCTACATTATAGCCATAAATACTAAGATATTCTCTATTCTCACCCTTTTCTGGAAACATTCCCTTCAGCCTCTTTCTGTAACCCAAATCTGATCTTCTCAAAACACATTCCTGCCCCTGTCAGCCTCTCAAATTATTAGCTATTTGCTCTTCCTCAATCCTTCTGTCACTTGGCCCAGAAGTATATGTCCTTTTAGCTTATCAATGCTGCTTTGAGATGAGTGGTTCTTTTTTTTTTTTTTCTCTCTCTCTCTTTGTGAGACAGAGTCTTGCTCTGTGGCCCAGGCTGGAGTGTAGTGGCGCAATCTCGGCTCACTGCAACCTCCGCCTCCCAGGTTCAAGCAATTCTCCTGCCTCAGCCTCCTAAAAGTAAGCCGGGATTATAGGCACATGCCACCACACCTGGCTAATTGTTGTATTTTTAGTAGAGATGGGGTTTCACCAGGTTGGCCTGGCTGGTCTCAAACTCTTGACTTCATGATCCACCCACCTTGGCCTCCCAAAGTGCTGGGATTACAGGCGTGAGCCACCGTGCCAGGCCGAGATGAGAGGTTCTTAACCAGGGGTGACTTTGCTCCCTAGAGGACATCTGGCAAAGTCTCAGAGACATATTTAGTTGCCACTACTGGGGCAAGGTGCTACTAACATCTCTTCGGTAAAGGTCAGTGATGCTACTAGTCATTTTACAATGCTCAGGACAGCTTCCTGAAATAAAGAAGTTCAAAATGCCAGTGGTTCCGCTGTTGAGAAACCCTGTTCTACAGCATTAGCCATACTTTTTTTCTAAAAACGGCCAGCCTTGAAGCGCATGGCTTTCAGATATACAGCTTGCCATTCCTCCATGGTTCAGCCATGTACTGAGCCCAAATCGTCCCCCCTCATTCCTTGAAGAGTATAGCATCAAGCTTGCTGTGACTCCGTACAACTCCTTATCAATCTTGGGATAACTCATTGTCTACATAGATTTCTTAGTTCAGTGACCATTTCCCCAATGTTATTTTTCCTCTACTTACATACCCTAGATCTTGATTCCAACCACACCCTCTGCATAGTCTCAATTTCAAGCATCCTGCAACCACAGCCTCCCACCTTTCCAGCTCACCCACTGACTACTAATTCTTCTACCTCCTTGGAACCTACAATGCAGTGATTCTACTACCTTCCTGTTGTTCCTCACCCACCTCAGGTCCTTCCCTTCATCCTTCCCAACTTAGATTCTACAGACCATCACTATAATCATTCTATTGCATAGTCTCTGTCATTCTTGCCTGGTGTAACTCCAACTCAGGTTAGATCCAATCTTCCATCTAACCTAACTGAATGATCCTGCAAAAAACCAAAAGCATGATTAGTCTTACTTTAAATTTATGACCACTAATTTCAGTGGGCTCTTAGCATTGCCCAGTAGCCCGAAACATCTCCCCAGTCCATTTATTTTCCCATGCTTCTAGACAATTCATACTTTTTTTCCCTCTAACTCCAATTTCTACCCCACCCCTACTCTGCAGTAATGACCTTGCCAAGAATATTCCAGATTCAGAGGAGAATTTCCCTAGCCTTCCTACCACATGTACACATCTACCTAAATTCCTATCAAGAGCCAACTTCTATTCTGTGTACTAAATCCCATTCTATAACTACTTCCCAGGAACACTGCTCTAGTAATTTCCCATTCTACTGGATTGCTTACTTCAGAAAATAATCATGATACAATATTCCCATCTTAAAATACAAATTCCCCTTTTGTATTAGCTGGCTAGGGCTGCCATAACAACACTATGGACTGGGTGGATTAGACAACAGAAATTAGTTTTCTCACAGTACTGGAGTCTGGAAGTCCAAAATCTAGGTGCTGGCAGGGTTCTTTTCCGGTGAGGACTCTGTCCTTGGCTTGCAGATGGCAGCCTTGTTTCTACATGGCCGTTCTCCTGCGTGCATGCGCTCTTGGTATCTCTTCACATGAGGACACCAGTCCTATTGGATTAGGATCCCACCCACATGATGCCGTTTAACCTTAATCACCTCCTTAAAGAGTCTTTCTCCAAATATAGTCGCATTGGGTGTGAGGACTGAGTTTTGGGGAGTACAACTCAGTCCATAACAATTTCACATGCCCTTTAGCAACCTCTCCACTTTTCTGCTTCTCTTTAAAAGCACCTCAAAAGAATTGTTTGGTATCTCTAGTTTCTCTCTCATTCTCTATGAGATCCAATCCAGTCAGTCTGTCATCCCGAAGACTCCACTGAAATAGCTCTTGTCAAGGTTACCAGTCAACTGCAGGTTACAGAATCCAGTGGTCAGTTCCCGATCTTTATCTTTTTTTTTGGCCACCCAGTATCAGAGAAATCTTTTAAAAGATTTTTATACATTTTTTAATGCATTTTAAAATATGTCAGCTTATGTCACTCTTTTGCTCACCACTGTCCATTAGCGTCACATCTTAGAAAAGTGAGTCTTTACAGCAGCATGTAAGACCCCGCATTATCTGGATCCCTGCTCTTACTGCCCACCTATCTGCCTCCATCACCCTATTCCAGCCAAACTGGCCTGCCTGGTGCTCCTTAAACTCTCCAAGTATATATATATGCACACACACACACCCACACACACATATGTATATATGTGTGTATATACACACACATTTGGAGACAGTCTCTCTCTGTTGCCCAGGCTAGAGTGCAGTGGCACAATCTCAGCTCACTGCAGCCTCTGCCTCCCTAGGTTCAAGTGATTCTCCCACCTCAGCCTCCGGAGTATCTAGAACCATAGGCACACCTCACCATGTCCGGTAAATTTTTTGTATTTTTTGTAGAGATGGGGTTTTGCCATGTTGCCCAGGCTGGTCTCAAACTCTGGCCAACACATATATATTCTGTTCGTTGTCTGTCCTCTCGTACTAGATTGTAAGCTCTGTGAGGGCAGGGATTTGATATTTTTAAACTACTATACTGACCCCATGCAGGACAATTCCTGGCACGTAGTAGAGACTTAATATTATATCAGTGAATAAAGATCTGATTGGTAGAATTTTTAGTTTGGATCTCCTTGGTATCTGTTTTTACAAGCCAAACTTCCCTTCTCCCAAACCCCAGTGTTATTTAAACGAATACCACTTGGAAAAAAATCAGCCTTATCTCAAGCCTGTTGGATAAATTACATGCACCTGAGAGACCAGCCTTGAATTTTCCAATTACCTCATACATCTAGGGAACCGCTTGCCGTGAAGAAGCCATTGTATTATATCATCTTTCCCCATGTGTCTTTTAATGAATCCAGTTTCAGAATTGAGAACAAAAAGCTTACCATTTGTTTCAGTTGGAGGCGGTTTCAGTGATTGGACAACTTTATGTAGATGAATTAACATTGCAATAGAAAATTTCCATAAGACATCTAGGTTCTAGCTGATGTGTTAGCCTTTAAGCAATATTAATGATAACAATTCTGTGACAAATATTTAAAGTTTGTGCGTGGGTGTTGGGGGTGATGTTTCATGCATGCACTACAATGGAGTACAAACCCAATTTAATTCAGCTGCCTTGCCTGCTGAAAGACCTGGCACAGTCAGTGATCCACAGAGCCCAGGACTCCAAGGTGAGGCAAAAAGAGTGGGAGGATTTAGGAACTTTCCCCAGCGTGCTTCAGAAATCACCACTGAATTGTGAGCATTGAAGCATCAACAAGATGCAGCATTATGATGTAAGGTATGCCTCTGGTGTTACAGGTAAGAAAGAAGAGCCACAAATAAAGCCTCAGTCCTCTGGGATGTTGTAACACGATAAACACCTTGGCTGTCTTGGATGATAAACATACACATACCTGTCAGCCCACCCAGACTCTAATGTCCAAAATGCAGTAGCTGCGCAACTTTCCTCCAGAGACTGTATAGCAGTGTGGTAGGTTTGGCTCAGGAAAGAGGTGGTCCCATGAAGTGGATGCTGTTTAGAAGCAGGATACAGTATAGGAAGAGGCATCTCACTCTGCCTTGTTAGCGTCTACATATTGATTTCAATTCTTTTTTCACTTCCTCAGATCCTCCCTGACTGGGTCAAATCGTGTTAGAAGCCCTCCCGGCTGCACAGTCCTCTCTTGTAGCACTCGCTCAGCATCAAGGCTGCTTTACAGCCACACGGGTTATTTGATTAATGCCTGTCTCCCTTAGATGCTATCTCAGGAGGACAGGATGGGTTTTCAGGTTTGCTTATATTTCCAGTGCCCAACAGTGCCTGGGAAAAGTGTTCAACATACATTTCTGAATTAATGTATGAATAATTAAGCAAGAAAAAAATCTCATCCTTCCTTTCTTATGTAGTCTCTACCTATTCATACATTTGGATTTAGCTATGGAATCTGGATAAGAACTCAAGATACT